TTCCGGACCGACGGCAGAGAACAAAGATCGAGCAGGGTCGATTTCAGTTACCCAAGTTGTCGAAGTTTGTGAGCGTTTGTGTACGTGTCAGATCGCGTCCATCACAGCACGTGGTGTGACTGACGCGCCTTTTTTGCTTGTTTGCCACCAACCTTGGTCGCTATGTCGACAAGCGTCTTCTCATTGCCAGTTCCACTCGTCCTTCTGATCCATCTTCATTTGCTGCAATATCCTCACGCGAACAAGCCTGAATACGACCATAACCTCTTCAATGCTGACGTCCGTGGGTTGCGAGATCGCACAAGAACGATGGAGGATGTATGCTATTTCTTGGTATTCCGTATAGAAGGCACAAAAGAACGTGTGCGCAAGGTGTGACTTATTCTCGATAGACGTATCGTGCATCCCCTTACTTTACTATACGAAGGTCATATCAACCTACCCATGTTTGCAGCCTATAGACACCACCGCTTTCCGGACTTCTCTCGCGAAATATTTAGAAAACCTCCGACACGCCTCCATTTTTCCGGCAGCGCCGAGCAAACAACCGCGGCCAGATAGCAAACTGATATCCGGAGCAACAGGAGTCGCCTGGTGGTGGAAAGACGTTGTTGTCCGCAGATCTCTGCTGGACGAATGCGCTGAAGAAAAGTGGGGGTTATCGTATTTTTCTCTCTCGAATGCTGACATGCCTTTTCAGATTTGAGCGCCTGGTACTGGCACTTTCCACCCATGCTCTACTGAAGGGCTCTGCGACGCATGTGCCGTCAGACGAAACCCATGCAAGTCCATGCTCCTTCTCTACGACTCAGTTGGCTTAAGTATGCCCAGGTTCTTTTGCGTGGTCAACCTCGGACTTACATGACACGGTTGGCCGCATTTCAATCCTCCTATAATTCATGGGCTCGAGCGGCGTCCATCCTGAATCAGGAACAGTACGATCTTAGATCGCTGCGGGTACGTGAACACGTGAACTGTGATTTCCACTTCTTGTCTTGATAAGTTCTCTTCAGACGAATGTCCAAAATCATGGCGTTCTTGAAAAATATGCCTCATTGCCTACAGAGAAACTGGTAGCTCTCGCAGACTCTAAGCTTCAAGACCTTCTTGATAGTCAATGGGCCGGATCGAGCGGGTGCTCTGCGCTCAAATTCCTGGCTGATTTGGCCGGGCTTAAGCAGCCCGATTCCTCGCCAATGGCCGTTTCCCGCTCTGCAAAGGAACGAGGTGCGACAGATGGAATTGCGGTTCGTATAATCCGTACTCATGCCTATCTCCGGCTCATATTCCTTTCAGGTTTCGATCACGCCTCCGTCCCCACTTCCCATTGCTGCAGCGCACCATCCGGCCACCTTGCGTAAACTCGGCAAACGGATATTTCCAAAAGACACTGTCGATATAATTTCCCCTAATCTTCCTGTCGCATCCCAGCCTCACGCGGTAATTGCGCTAGCCGGGCGTGTGGATGCAGAGGCGCGCATGCTCCAGGCGCTCACAGATGGTCTCGCCCGCATACGCAAAAATATGAAAGACGTACAAGCCCGACTCGCCCGGGCCCCAAAACCCACCTCCAAACGCGCGCTCCAGCTCGTGAATATACATCTGTGGCAAGAGGCTCAACAAATCAGGATCGATTTCGAGGTCAGTGCGATTATCATTTTGGACCCCCAAGTCTGACACCTGGAATTAAGCCTACGATCAGCGACGACTCGTTCGTTGCTCTCGGATTATCTGAGCCAGGCACGGATGTAAACATCCAGCCACGTATCGACTCAATCCGGCAGGATCTGCTTCCGAAGTACCCGCCGGTGCCTACGGCTGCATCCCAGCCCACGGCATCCAGCCTACCACAGCCCAAGACGCGGTCGCCACCTCAGACGCCTCGATCCGCGAGGCAGCTGGAGATCTCAACGGCTCCCGATACGGTGAAGCCTCGATCACGAATTGTCCTTGAAAAGCACCATGCGGGTCGTAACTTCAATAAGCACCCTTTATTCTCGGACGCAGCAGACCGACAGTCCGAATCCATGGCCACAAGCGACTCGGAGCCCGTATGTGCTACTCTTAATACACGCCCAACTTACTCAACACTTTTAGTCCGGCGCAACACCTCGTGCGCAGAAACATTCGTTGACGATGACGCCGCCCGAGTTGCAGTCGTTGCTTGCATTGGAAACCTACCCTTCGAGATCTGAGTACCCATACGACGAGGACGAGGACGAGTTTGGCGCACTTGGTGAAGGCCCGAGCATGAGCGTCCGCGATTTGCTGCTTCAGGCAGATACAACCCATTTTGACCTTATCGGTGAGTGTATGCCATTTTTGCCAGCCAATTATTGACGGACAGGCTCTGTCTCGAATTTAGACGATGACCCGAGTGAACTGGGTGACCAGTCGTTCGGGTGGGCGTAACGAGTGCGAAGGGCGGAAAGGTTGGCGAGGTATAAGAAACAGAAGGCACGCGCTTGGTGTAATTGACGAAATATGTGACATTCAGGGTCCTTAGCAAGATATTTTGTATTAGAGCCCAGCAAAGACATTTCAGCCTCCCAACCTTGGTGAAAAGAACCAACATTTTCACGCCCTTTTCCATTACGGAAGCCGTGTAAAGCAGTCACATTCTTTTCACCTCCGAATAAACGGGAGCCTGTGGGCTTGCATAATATTCTGGGATAAAGTATGAGAATAAGAGCAGGAATCATCTGTGCGCCTCAAGCTTGGAACGAAACAGAAAAGACGTAATGAAAGAGTGGATGGAAACCAAGTTTGCAATTGACGAACGAAGTGAGCTTGGCAGTGAGTACCACAATCTGAAATTTAAATCCACTGTGCATCGCACACCCAATAGTTCATGAATCCCAATGCATTTGCTCTGTCCAGCAAAATATGATCCAATCCTTCCTCGCGAAGCACATTCAATCCATCCAGCGTCACAGAGCCAGGACCCGAGTGCCCGCGAAGAATTTAAATGGACCGCACCAAAGTGAGAATGAAAATGTTTGAACTAGACAACTTCAAAGATTACAATGATTAGCAGTTACTGACATGCCGGTTCCGACGATATCTCGAGCGAACCGGGTAACCAGTCGTTCGGGTAGGCGTAAATTTAACGTGAGGAAGCGTAACATATGCGTCATACATTTCGCCGTCTTTAAAGGCTAATCCGACTGTCACAGATCCAATGATTCATGACACTCCTCGCTTTCCCGCCGTCTAATAACAGAAAATCGAGACCCTCATGCCGCAATGCCTTCAGGCTACCAAGACACGCGAGCTCTGGGATGGGGTCTGACTGGAAAAGAAGCGCCGCACGGCTGAGAACACAATCGTGCGATCCCCAGCGAGATTCCACCATTTTGCAATAGGCGATGTAATCAAAGTAACTGGAACTGGCTCCAGTTGCGCGGGCGAAGGATATGGAAGATAACTGTGGAACCACCGGCGTGCTTCCGAGGCCGTCGGATACAGATAACTCAACGACCATTGCGTTGACTTCGCGGGCTACATGGCAATTGGTGATGATGATCCTGAGTTCCGCAATGGAGGGAATGTTTTGTAGTATTGCTATATTGGTACGCGCATGGGAGCACCCGGAAAGGCAGAGACGTCGAAGGGTACAAGACGAACGGGCAATCAGGGATTGGAGATTGCCCACGACGTTTTCGAGATCTCTCCTTCCGAAGAAAAGAGAAAGCTCCTGCAGCGCTGGAACCCGGATATATCCAAGCACTTCTAATCTTGATACATAAAGACGACAGAGCCTCGGAAGGTCGATGGTTTCATCGGAACCAGGCCAAGGTTCTCGGTCGAATTTGATGCCGATGCGCACCTCAGTAAGGTTGGGGGCCAGCTTCAATATACCACGATGGATCGCCCACGGGCAATAAAGTTGATAACGAGTGAGTTGGCGCGGGGACGGAAGAGAAATTGGGATATAGCGGAATTGGTTGTACACGGTGGCGTCCACCAGAGAAGGTGCCAATTGGAAAAAATCGATGGACTCCGCTGCTTCCTGGCTTTCAAGGCGGTCCCAAGTGATACACAATCTGCGAAGCGAAGGGACCCGACCCCGGAGATTGGTGAGGAGAGGATATAGCCTCGAGGTCAACCTAAGACTGAGGTCCTCCCATCGTGAAGCGTGTTTCAATAAACACTGGAGTGTTTCAATTTGAGGCTGAGAGTCGGACGTTTGACATCCATAAAAACGAATCTTCAAATTTCCGGCGCGAGCGAGCTGGGTCTCTAACATCGACAACGGATAGGCTGACGATAGATCCAATCCGGAATCATAAGAGGTGGTGAAAAGCGACCACAACACAGGATGGGAGATGGCGACTGCTCGCCAGCGGCGACTGACATGAGTCAAGGACCACGGGCTGGCCGTCATGTGGAACCCACGGTGCAGTGATACCTCGCTGGCGGAAGGCGCTGACCACGAAAATATCTCCGACAGCACCTCGGCGGGAATTATCCTGAGCGAAGAGAGGATGGTGTGATTACGCGCTCGGTAATGAGACAGCGAGGCGCGTTCATCTTGGAGGCGCTGCAACCTTTCCTGGAGTCGGGCTATCTCATCGTCGATATCGGCCAAGCGCGCGTCGGTGTCTGCGATCACAGACTTGACAATGACCACCTCGGAGTCGAGAGGCACTTCGTTGGAGCTCAAGAGCATGTGGTGTCGGGTTCCAGGAGTGGTATCGTCATCGATACGGCCTGGGTCTTCCACCAGTATTGGTGCCACAACAGCGCCGCATTTGTGGCAGCTGAACGGGTCCATCTGGGAGTTCGTGTGAGTTATGAACGTATACTACTGCAGACCGAGTCACCATGCCAGCTGCGACGATTTATGTTTTGTGGGGTCGTAAGAAGAAAGCTTGTTGCGGCGGAAAGCGGCCCGCTGAAGATTACTATCACATACAAACCGTGATACGCGAGGTGTACGACGAGCGCTCAGAGACCCTTATTAGGGTGGCGAAGAAAAAATACAAAAGAAAAAAAGATGACCACCGCAGGGGTCGAACCTGCAATCTCCTGATTACATAGACATAATCGTAGTCAGACGCGATGCCATTTCGCCAGGCGGCCATGTAAACCGGTCTCAAAATAATCATGTGATTACGCGTATCAAGGGGATACCTTTCTGTGAATGGAGGAACATACGCCGGTTTTTTATTTTTGTCGAATTTCGTTGAACCAACCACCCACGTCATACCACGTGTTATCCATATCGGGAAATGATGGCACACACCGTCAACTTTCAAACGCCGCGCTCGAAGACCAACAACAACCTGCCTCAGGACCTACCAAGTCCAAGGCTATATGATCTCTCCAGGTGCAAAAGCATCATACTTGAACAGGAAACCATATTTTTAAGAGACATGGGGACAGAAATTAAGCTGTTGTCCTACTTCCCAACACGCTGACACTTGGTACGAATACCATCCCCAGACAGGGATCCAACCTTCCGGGATACTTCCGCGCTTAACACACCGATGATGGTACATACTATCCAGAGTGAGCCCAAAATTTCAATTCCTTGGTTGCGCAAGCTTACCCATTTTATTTCGCATCATCTCAGAAAAATTTATGCTTGATCACCACTTGATCACAGCAGAATATTGGGGTGTGATTTTCAGTTTATTTGTGCTTCATAGGCTGGGTCATTGGCCATTGCGGAAAAGTATGGTGAGACTGCAGTAAAGATGTTCTGAGACCAAATCAGTACTACGTTGGATACCCCAAAAGCAATTATAACGTGTTTTAGACCTGAAAATTATTCCCACCAGAAAATGAAAACATTGACCTGGCCGACCAACCAACCACCCAGGGTCCGGTCCGGCATTCACAGCCCGGCACACCCTTGACGCGTATAAGGCCACTTGATCGCAGCGAGAAAAGCCTCTACTCAATCTGCTGCCATATCAGGGGGAACCTAGACGCATCTGGACTCGGATCTAGGAAGTGTATCTTATCACTAGGCATAGTATGAACTGATTATTGTTTGAGGTCAACATTCAGATTTCTCTCCGACGTCTCTGATGTATAGCCGAACGAAGTAGTATTTGGGTGAAACAGTGGAATTGAAAAAATACAGATGCGTGCCAGAAAACTACAACCTGGTTCTATTGACCTGACGCGCAATCGAGTAATGACGAAAACGGTGCGACTCGGCTAAGCTTGCGTGCCTCAAATAAGATCAATCGGCAGTGCGACTCGACGCCAAGAGTGCGACTCGAACTGGAAGCCGCCGCGTCGCATCAAAGCACTTAAACCCCACCCCGCACGGCACCACAGAGTGGGCCAAGCGGCGAGCGTCGAGGGGATGGGGGTCTCTCCTGTGCTAGAGAATCTTTGAAAACTGGGAATAAGCAGAAAAAAAGTAAAAACACACAAAAGAAAATGAGAAAATGAGCTCCATGCAGTCACCAATGGGCTCCCGCGGCGAGCGGAAGCTGGGCATAACGGCGAGCGTAAAGCGTCCGCGGGGCATCGTTTCTCCCAAAATGAAATATGGCCCGAAATGGCCCTTAATACGCCAATTGACGAATATACCGATAAACGGCACTACTACGCCGAAAATGATGTATTGATGGCAGCCGATGGCTTGAATACCATCAACAGTGTAATTACGCACTCTCAAGCGACACCCTCCCCGTAAAGTGCGTAGGGCAACTTGAAGCGAAGTACCCAGGCACTGTCGTTGAAAATTACCAACGCTGCCCGAAGAGGCCCTATGTTGACTAAGCCCGGAGTATATATAGAAACAGAAACAATGACTGACAAATGCCGAATGAAAAAGAAGCGAAAACCGCCGAGAAGTGAAAACCGCCCGAGAGCATTTGTGTTGACGTCACCCTGATTACACTGGACCCTCCCTCACAGAGCTCAGAAATCCCGACGGAAGCTTCCTATAAAACAACATGGAAATTTCTACAAGCTCAATCCAACTTGAAAGCAATGTCAAATCATCCTAAAAACATCATAATCGTCGGCGGATCCCCCAGCGGCGGAGTCGCTGTCCTACGTGGTCTCCTCCCAAAACTCCCCTCTGCTCAAATCACCCTTATAAATCCCCTCCCCTACGCCCTTGCGCTCCCTACTCTTCCCAGAATGACCGTCTCCGAGAGCAACGATCTCCTCTCCACAGTGCTGATTCTGTATGACAAGCTGTTCACAAAGGCCACATCAAATGCAACCTTCGTGGAAGGCATTGTGGTCGCCATCCAGCCAGATGAACAGGGAGGACTCGGAGTCGTATTGCTCGCGGACGGGACGCAACTGCCATATGATGTCCTCGTGCTTGCACCGGGCTCTGTCTGGGAAGGGCCGTTGGATTTCCCGTGGAAGAGCGAGGCCGTCAAAGCGTTCGTGAACTCCAGTCGCACGGGCTTCAAGAAAGCACAGAAAATTGTGTTAGCTGGAGGAGGTGCGGTCGGCGTCGGTGAGTATTTTTTTATCGCCAAGTCGATCACCTGCTCACCTGGAAATGAAAAGAATACGCAGGAGAAATCAAAGACATATGGCCAGTAAGTGTATCATAATTCTGAGGCATGTCAGCAACCTTTCCTTATATCTCCTCGTAGGAAAAGGAGGTCACTATCATTCACGGGGGCAACAGCATCATGAATGCCACATACCCAGCTCGTTTTCGCGAAGGGCTCGAACGCGGTCTTCGTGCACGAGGCGTCAACATCATTCTGGAAGACTACGTTGACGGAATTCCTCCTCCAGGACCCGTGACCATCCGGACGCGCAAGGGGCAGGAGATCGACGCTGACCTAGTTGTAAGCGCGTTCATGAAGCACAGCAGCAGCCTGGAAAGCTAACCACATTTCGGTCTAGATATCAACGAGAGGTCCTCGGCCACGCACAGAATTCATCGCCCAGTTGCTCGGTCCAGAAACGCTCGACGAGCGGGGCCAGATCAAAGTCCGTCAGACAATGCAGTTGCTTGCGCACCCAAACATCTTTGCTGTCGGCGACGCAATCAACACCGTCGAGCAGAAGCAGGTGAACAAGGCGCAAGCCCATGCTGCAATTGCTGCGGCCAACGTCATTGCGTATCTCTCGCCCAGCGGCGGTAAGATGAAGGAGTACATCGGCGCCCCAGAATTAATTGTCATCACCAACGGCAGGGTCAGTTGCTCAGCTTACATGATTTATACAAGAGAATACTCACAGGCACTGCAGAATGGTGGAATGGCTTATTTTGGGGTGCTCTGGGGCCTGACCTTCGGTAATTGGGTAGCTAGGCTGATGAAATCCAGGAGTCTGCTGCTGTGGATGACGCGGAGCTTCATGGGTTATTGACGGATGTTCACGGGTGCTGATACGACTCAGAATATAGCCTCTACTCACTGCATATCATATTATTTCGTTGGGATAATGAAAAGACACAACCACCGTGCAAAATTTATAGAAGAGGAAAGGAAGCTGGCTCGACAGTATAACCTTGATATGAAACTCTGGAATGCATTATAAAGGAGGCAGAGAGCAATTTCAAGGACATTACCTCGAACCACTCCCACCCATTGCTAACGTCTGCGCAGCGAAGTTAGCATCGGGTGATAAGGTATGTAATGTAACAAAAAAATGTTGAACAAGGACGCGCTTTATGTTTCGAACAAGGACTTTAAAAGTATGGCAGACATCAAGCAAAGGTCCAAGGATCCATCCCAAGTTCGGTGACGACTGAATCGTGTAGGGGAAACTGAACTAATGTGGAGTCGAGCTGCTGATGGTAATAAACAAAGTATAATTTTGCGGATGGCATTCGACGAAGAGATTGTCGAGAGGTCACTAGTGATGTTCTGGCTTTGGCCTCAGGCCAAAGCGAAGGCAAAATTTGGGCCCGGCCTGACATCCTCTCAGGCAAAAGCCAGGCCAGAAAGCCATGGCTTTTTGGGGCCCTTCCACCTGGCTGAATTCCATTGATACATAGGACAAAATTACTTACTCCGAGTCTGTAGGAATTTTTTGGCAGTTGCTCGGAACAATCTGGGTGCATGCCATGGGCTGCCGGCTATCTCGGGGTATTGAGAGCCGAAGAGAGACCTAATTTCGGCAGGGGACGTTCCAAAGATACACCCTGAAATGTCTGTGGGTGTTTGTGAGGCGTCAAAAGGATACTCCCGAGTCGTCTAGTAACTCAAATAAAACTCACTTGATTTTCGATCAAGTAAGGGTCTAGTGTAATCAAGGTGGTGTCAATACACTTCTCGGCGGTTTTTGCTCTGGCATTGATCAGTCATTTGTTTCTAGGGCCAGCGAGGTACCCCGGTACTTTCATTGAAAATTACCAAGGCTGCCCGAAGCTAAGCCCGTTGAGCCACCATGGTTTGAGCGTCAGGTCAACCTGTAGTTTTCTGGCGCATCTGTATTTTTCAATTTCATTGCTTCACCCAAACACTATTTCGTTCTGCTATACATCAGAGACGTCGGAGAGAAATCTGAATGTTGACCCTCAAACAATAATCAGTTCATACCATGCCTAGTGATAAGATACACTTCCTTAGATCCGAGTCCAGATGCGTCTGGGTTTCCCCCGATATGGGAGCATTGAGTAGAGGCTTTTTGTCGCTACGATCAAGTGGCCTTATACGCGTAATGACATCGTTATTTTGACACCCTCTTATATGGCCGCCTGGCGAAATGGCATCGCGTCTGACTACGACGCGTCATTGTAATCAGGAGATTGCAGGTTCGACCCCTGCGGTGGTCATCTTTTTTGGGTCATGTTTTTTTCTCTTCGGCTCTCTGCCTCATCTTCCCACGCGTCCAAATATTGAGCTTCCAATCTGCCGTAGTTCGACTCTCCGATCGCGAAACCTTAGGCGGGCTCCAATAAAAACTTTGAACTTCATTGTGACAGGATTACCCTGACCTCGAGGCCGTCTGGTGAAACGGCATCGCGTCTGAATACGATGATGCTTATCGAGTGTAATCGGAATCCGGAGATTAGATTTCTGTTTACTGGGTTTTTTGCTGTCTTTCGTTCTTTTTTTCTTCCTCATTTCCGTACGACTTCTTCCCCGCCCCGCCCGTTTTACCGGCAATGGAGCCATGTTCGCGCCGAATCCCGTTGA